TTTTTTTTTTTTTTTTTTTTTTTTTTGTGTATGTTATTTGCAAAAATTAATTAGACTTATGAAGAACTCATAATATGTTTGAATGAATAATCTTACAACTTAGAGCTAATTAATTTAGTTATTTTGGAGATGGTAGTGACTAAATTTTGTAGATAAAAGTCGATGAGATTTTTGAACATTTAGACTGATACATCCATAACAGTCCCATTATTTTTTTCATGTGTGATATTCTTCCATGGTTTTGTTTCTCTATAACTTGCCTTAATTTTTTTCAAGATCACATTGATACATGCATGTATGAACATGATTAAGGCCGTCTTTATCACATAAATGAGCTTCATTAGCCAAATAGCCGACCATGTAATTGAATTTTCCATTGTTGTGCCCATTTGAGCCTTATTGACTTTTCTTTGTACAAACTCACATTATAAACTTTAAACTGGAAAAACAATGTCTTTACCCAAATCTTAGAGCTAGTGGAGTAATGTTCAATACCATGATATGTGTGGGTGTGCAAGAAAATAAGTGTGGGGGTTTCAAGATTTTTTATAGTACTATGATTGGTGGAATTGAACATGTTTCTATTCATAAGTTCCATTATAGGGTAACATTTGGAGTCTATATTGAAGGAAAAAAAGTCGATAAAAAAAATAAAAAAGAAAAAAAGTGAATGATAGAAGAAAAAGAAAATAAGTGATGGAGGAGAGTAATATTAATATTACAAAATATCTATATTCATAATTCCTCATACATTTCAAGACATAGTTCGATTTGTGTGGAATGGATGTAAAGTAAAGGAATAATTGTGTAGAGTAGTTGGTTTTACATTTCTTATGAATATATTTGAACTAAGTTTATTCATCTTTGATCCACTGGTTCGATGGCTCTTGAGTTACATACCCAAATATTTCCCACTCTGACCCTAAGCCACGTTACAACAATTGAAAAGTCCTTATAATTCTTGTAAACCATGTGATTGAAGTGGTGGCGAATAAGAAGATATCCAAAGATATGGTAGAGCATCTCCATTGGAATGAATTTGAGCGAAATACTTACCTTTTAAATACATGAGAGTTGAGTAATTATATCTGTGAGGGTACATGTTTAGTTTACTCCATTTTTATATGAAAATACTTGCTAATTGATTATAAGTTGTGTGAGAATATTTATTCATAATGTGTTATGTGTTTTGAAGAAGTTTGATTGTTCCATGTTCATGGCATTACGACCTAGTGTTTTGGGGGAATTAAATTTAAGTTTTGCCCGAGAACGAGCAAAAGCTAAGTGTGGAGGATTTGATATGAATGTAAAATGCATAATTTTTTCATATTTATTTAAGACGTTCGTATGATTATTTTATACCAAAATGTACTTATTATTAATCTCATATTTTGGTTTAGGTGGCAATTTGATAGATATAGCGTAATTTGGAAGAAATAAGTGGAAAAAAATCAAAATGAAAGAAAGCGAAAGTTTGGGTATTAAAGTGCAAATACTCAAAAGTCATGTTGAACCTCACAATAAAGATTTGAGAGTGTTAGAGGTCAATTGGATGAAAAAAGAAGTCAAATGAATGAAATACAATCAAAGTATTATCAAATATTAACTTTCAGGCGAAAATGTTATGCACCGATTTTCAGCCTCGTATTGAGACCCGTTTCTTACATGGAAAGCAATCGAATTGAAAGATGATATTTGAATTAAAGTTGTAGCCCTTTCAGTTAACTTTTCAATGCACCTCGAATCCCCTCAATCGGATATCGACAAAGAAAGCTATGACCAAATTACTAAAAGCTATCCGGCAGAGAAAAATTAACACTATGCGGTCGCATAATTTTAATTTATTGCGATCGCATAGACTATTACCGAGAGTTTCAGGACTGAANGCAGAGAAAAATTAACACTATGCGGTCGCATAGTGTTAATTTCTTGCGACCGCATAGACCATTACCGAGAGTTTCAGGGCTGAATTTATTTGTACTATGCGACCGCATGACCTATAACTATGTGACTGCATAGTTCATTCCCAACATGAAAATTCTGATTTCCGAATTTAAGTCAACCACATATGGAAACAACTATAAATGCGTGATTTGCAACCTTAGAACGGAATCAGAACGTACAGAACATCTCCAAACTCCACTCTTTATTATTTTTCTCTTAAATTTATGAATTATAACTAAACTTTTACACTTGATCAAACGAAATTGAAGACTAGGAACCACATATTGTGAGATTTAAATAGTTTTCTTATTATTTAATTCTTATTTTACGTATTGAATATTCTTCTATACTTATTTCTATGATTGTTATGTTTAATTGTTGAAGGCCTACTAGTTTGTTATTTGTTACAATTTATCTCTAAGTTAAATATCAAATCCGTAATTGTTTGATCCCTTTAACTTGTGAAGCACTAGGATTTGATGATTTTATGCGATAGAGATTATTAAATTTTAAGAAGAATGTTTAAATAGATTGAATGCAACAAGTAGATTGAATGCAACCGTTGGTATTTGTGTTATCTAATTCATCGATTTCTCGTAAATCTGTTATTAAATTGAATTTTGAGCGCTGGTTTGAAATTATTTAATAATTAGGGTTAATTAGAACATTGGTTTCTTACTAGCTAAAATTAAGGAGAGAGAGAAATAATTCCAGCGGTGAATATTCAAAATATGAATTGAATTATCCTTGTATCTATGATTAATTGTGGATTTTCGACGGTGGATGTGGACTTAGACCAATGTTAGTCTTTTAATTGTTTTCGTTAATTCAATTTTCATTGTTATTGATCATGTTATTTACAATTGTTTGCATACAAAAACCCCTCAATCATTATACGAAGTATAAAATATTGAATTACATACTCTTCGTGGAATCGACCTTTACTTCCACTACTACATTAATTTTAGAGGTTAAGATATTACTTTTGGGTGCATGCGACAGCACATACCAATTTCTCTACCTAATCTTGAAATTATATAAATTTTAATTTACCTTCTTGGAATTATCTAAATATATACACACATTTCCCAATTCTTCTTGAAAACATGGACACAACCACGTTATTTAATAGTTGTTGATAATTAAATAAGAATATTATGTAAATTCTTTGTAAAAATTACTTTTTGATAACATTAAATAAAATTTCTTAATCTATGTAAAAAAAAAATCAATCTATGCCCACATTTGGTCCTCATTAAAATTATAATTCATTTTTTTATTTGTTCTTATTAACAACACGCTCTCTAATAAAATAATATTATACGTAATATCAAAAAAAATCTTCTTTTTTAATCACACATTTTTCAAAAAAGCTATTCCAATTTATTAAAATTTCAAATAATGAGAGCTATATAAATGTAACAAATGGAGTATTAAAAAAAAAAAATTTCTAAATAAGAACTCTTTCAAATTAAGCATGTGTTTGATAGTCGTTTTAAAGAGAAATTAGAGAAAAATGATGTTTTGGATAGTAATTTTTGAAAAAAATGTTGAAAAGTAAGATCTTTTTTTAAATTCATGTGAAAAAATATTTTATTATACGAATGTATAATTCAAAATGTGTACAAAAAATAAAGAGTTTTGAAATTTAAAAAAAATAAACAAAAATGAGACTATAATGCTCCTCAAACAGGGATTGAAAACAAATTGTGTTTGTCTCAACAATGCTGAATGTACAGAAATTTTGTATCAGAAGTTGTACAGAATAGTCACATGGATGTGGTCCCACCTATTCAAATATAATTTAAAAAAGTAGACCCCACATATTTGTGTATTCCCTCTTTTTTTCGTTTCTGTATGACAAGGAAGGTTCGTGTGTGTCTTTAAGGGCCTGTTTGATTGCAAATGTGGACCCCACATATTTGTGTATTCCCTTTTTTTCGTTTCTGTATGGCAAGGAAGGTTCGTGTGTGTCTTTAAGGGTCCGTTTGATTGCAAATGTGGAAAATGGGTAGAAGGAAAATGTTTTACTAGGAATTGAATTGTCTAAAATTTGTTTTACTGGGAATTATAATTAAGTGTGTTTGATTGGTATAATTTTCCACTAGAAAATGTTGAAAGTTTGGTGTCCGTTTAGCTTCATTTTTATGAAAATTGTCCATTAAATTGATAATTTTTTTCTACCATTACGTTTAGAATTTGTTCCAATTACCAAAAAGTTAAAAAAAAATTTAAATTAGAAAAAATTACCATACCGAATAACATTCGTTTGACTTTGTTTTGCATATAATTTGTCAACAAAAGCGAAAATTTTTTTTTACAATAGATGATAAAATTTATTGCCATTACTAAAAAAAAAGAAGCAAAAAAAAAGTTGGAAATTATTTTTCCACCTAACAGGTGAGAAAACAAAATTAAGTAAATGTGTATCAAAGGGTTGTACCTAGAAAAAGATGGGAAAAACAAAAGTCTGATAAATTTGATCTCTAAAACATTCTTAATTAGTTAAAGTTGGAAAACATTTTTTTATTCACCCATTTTCTAGGAACAGGGTTAAGTGTTTTTTTTTCCCCAACAGTTGAGGGAGGTTGCGCCATGTGTCGCCTGATTTTAATCCCAAAATCTGTTTGTGTAGCATGATTATACCATAAATACGTGAGCCGCGGAGTTTGAGTCGAGACCTAGAACAGAACTGTTTGGACGACAATGGGCGCAGAAGCTGAAAATCATCAACAAAAAACAGGGTCAATTCCCAATCCAAACCCTAATCCCAATCCCATTTCGGAAGCCCAATTTCTTGCGTGGAAACGCCGCAAGGTCTTGTATTCTCTCTGTATCTTTTCCCTTTTAATTTTCTCCTTCATTCCATACGTATAAAGAGTTCACTGGTCCCGTAAATATTGGTTTCTTGTGTGTTATGATTATCTATATTATGCCACCTGTTATCAGTTTATGTATTTGCCTATGAATATTTGGCTTGAAATTTTCATTCTGTGTATTTCGGTTTGAATTTTCATTCCGGAGTTTAAAGATTGACTTTGGGGTTTCTTCTATATCCTATGTTGTCAGTATAGAAATAGGTCTAAAAAAAGTGATTTTTGATTTCCATTTCTTTTTGCTTGTATTTTAGTCCCCTAGAAATTTCATCTGTCTTTGTTATATAAACAATAAGGGAGTGTGGGTCATCTGCAATATGTTCGACAGTTTGTAATGATAATGCTTTTATATTTCTCCTGCGTCATTCTTAAATGCTCTGTTAGTGAGCCCAAATGTATATATCCGATTACAATGATTGGCGAAAACTACAAATGCAGAAGAATTCTAGAACTATAAATGTTACAGAAAGGAAGTGAAAAATTACCAAGGATGGAAAGAACCACAAAGGAAAGAGGAGTGTTTTCATAAAAATATTCTATACACTTCAGAGGAAAGTAAAATATTTATAAGTCAGCTAAATTCAAGGAAAACTAGAGACCCTAACTTCATTAAGTTGATAAAGGATTAGAACATTAGAATTTTGGTAAAGGACAAATATATTAGAGATGGGTGAAGAGGTTATTTTAAAAAATTATGGTGATAATAACTTATGGGTGGTAGAGATGTTGTATGTTTTTCATGCTATATGATAGTGGAGGTGATGAAGGTCCTAAAAATGATTGATGTTGACAAGGCCATCAAAGTATGTGGTTTTGATTATTCGTGTTTAGGTATGAAAGAGTTTGGTCGAGTGTGATTCTTTTCGTTGGTAGAAGTTATTTATGAAATTGCTTCTAACAAATGCATGTGAAGAATGGATGAAATATTTTCTTTTCCTGAGCACATAAATAAGGTGACCGAAGCACCCCGAATATTAGGAAGTTCGGGTGCCTCCAAAATGTACGCAAGTATAAACTCCTAGGAATAACTTTAAAATCAACACTCCTCAATAGTAATAAAATTAGAACTTATTGCCATGTCCAATGTAATTTTACTAAAACAATATTTAGGGTGTGTTTGATGGATATTATTGAGGAAATAATGTATTTTAAATAGTGATATGATGAGAGATATGTGGTTAAAAATAAGGAAAACTTATTGATGTGATGTAAAATATTATTTTATTGAAGAATATGTGGTTGAAAATGAGTTTCGAAAGAATGTATTTTGAAAGAATGTGTACCAAATAGGGGCATAAACGAAATACTCTTTAACTTTTTCATATAGGACTCATAAAATTTATTCCAAAATCAATATCACTATAGACAAAATTACTAACAAACTATCTGCTTGGAACTAAGAACATGCGTTAAAACTCCTTGGAACAACTCAACGTTTGCCCTTGATTTGACCACACAAATACTTGTGTGTGCAAGAGAAAAAGGGAAAAGTAAGAGAGGGAGAGGGATAAGACATTTGAGACTGTTTGGGGTGTTGTGTGGCTTTTGCTTGCACGTGTGCACGTGTATAAATATATGCTAGTTGCTACTTTACCTGTGGAACTCACTACACAGTCTATCGCGTCTCCTCTTCTGACCTCTAATCAGTCCCCTGTCTACAGATTCTGAACCAATGAATGATATGTAGCCTGATCATCCTCACTAATAATGTTCACCCTATGGTGACAATATTTAAGGTTGGGGTATTTAAGCCAAGGGCTTCTATGGTTTCTGATCTTGGTGTGGCTACGCTTAGTACTCTACAGGAGGCTTTAAGGAGATGTCATTGGAAGTCGGCAAAGCAACAGGATACAATGCTTTAATCCACATTGAAACGTGGGTACTTGTCCCTCAGCCTACTTATAGAAAAGTTATTGGCTGTAAGTGGATTCTTAAGGATTAAAAGGAATCTCGATGGCTCTATTTCCAGGCTTAAGGCTTGTCTGGTCGCTAAAGGATTCCATCAACTTGCTTGTTTTGACTTTATTGAAACATTTTGCCCAGTCATCAAGCTGGCTACGATTAGGGTTATCTTGAGCATTGATTTGACTCGAAGTCTGTCAGCTCGATTTAAAAGATGCATTTTTAAATTGGTATCTTCAAGAAACTATATTTATGGAACAATCTTAGGGGATTAAAATACATCGAGATTCCCAGAAACTTGTTTGCAAACTTCGTACGGCATCATTTGCGTTGAAACAAGCTCCACGGTCTTGGTTTGATAAGCTCGGGGTCTCCCTACTTCATCTTGGTTCTACTCAACCTGATCAGTCACTTTATGTATGGTTTTCTCCAACTTCCCATGTCTATCTACATGTAGATGACAAAGTAATTATTTGCAATACTGCTTCTGAAGTTAGCACCCCATTTCTCATCTAAATAGAAAATTTCCTTGACATATCTCTGTCCTATCAATTATTTTATTGGAATTGAAGTGAATTACACCACCAAAGTTAGGGTGTTACATCTTCAGCAAAAGTACATCGATGATTTGTTAGTTAGGGCCTAGATATTTGGTGCTAATGCTCTTCCAACACCTTTGGTTACTAGTCCACACTTAAGTGCTTATCAGGTGAGTTATTTGAAAATTCTAATCTGTACTGTAGTATTGTGTGGGCCTTACAATGTTACCATCACCAGATCGGATATTGAATTCAGTGTTAATGGTGTTTCTCAATTCATGCAACAGCCTCTTGATTGATATTGTAAGGCTGTGAAACATATCCTCAGGTATTTAAAGGTGACAGTCGTTTTGGTTTATGTTAGGAACCTGGTTTGCTGGTGAAGTTCTTATAGATTTGGACGGTGCTGCTGATCTGTATAGCCGTGGAACAACTGTACAATATTGATTATTGAAGAGCAATGTATTTGAACTTAAATGTATTGAAACATAGAATTAATAACAGTACAATTCCAAGCATTCGAGAGGCCTGGATCTCTTCCCTTAACAAACTAATCACTGAATGAAAATCCCGAATCTCCCCTTATTACATTTAGGCCGTGTTTGATAGGCCACATTTTCCGGGGAAGTAGAAAAATATTTTCCACTTTCCAATTTTTTGGCTGTTTGATAGGCAAAATTTTCCACGGAAAATATTTTCCGGATTTTCCCCACACGTGTGCAATTTTCAGGTTTTCGATGAAAATGTTTTCCCGGCTAGTT